CAACAATTCGTGGCAAAGATTAATCGAATTTGGAAAAAATCCTCACCACCTTACGACAGCAATCAGAAGCCTTGTTGGATAAGTTTATTTTATTATCCCAGTGGTCATGTTCCAAGTCAAGGCAAATTAATCTTCAATGGAATAACAGCAAGGTAGCAACGTTTCAATTTACAGAGTGCGAATCCAGTATCATCTGTAAGGTGTATGATGGAGCAGTGTACTTTGCTTTTGAGTTGCACAATTTAAATACTAATTATTATTCTCAATATCCCGTTCATGATTTGGCTACAGTGAGGGAAAAGAGTATTTGATCCCCTGCTGATTTTGTACGTTTGCCCACTGACAAAGAAATGATCAGTCTATAATTTTAATGGTAGGTTTATTTGAACAGTGAGAGACAGAATAACAACAACAATCCAGAAAAACGCATGTCAAAAATGTTATAAATTGATTTGCATTTTAATTAGGGAAATAAGTATTTGACCCCTCTGCAAAACATGACTTAGTACTTGGTGGCAAAACCCTTGTTGGCAATCACAGAGGTCAGACTTTACTTGTAGTTGGTCACCAGGTTTGCACACATCTCAGGAGGGATTTTGTCCCACTCCTCGTTGCAGATCTTCTCCAAGTCCTTAAGGTTTCGAGGCTGACGTTTGGCAACTCGAACCTTCAGCTCCCTCCACAGATTTTCTATGGGATTAAGGTCTGGAGACTGGCTAGGCCACTCCAGGACCTTAATGTGCTTCTTCTTGAGCCACTCCTTTGTTGCCTTGGCCATGTGTTTTGGGTCATTGTCATGCTGGAATACCCATCCATGACCCATTTTCAATGCTCTGGCTGAGGGAAGGAGGTTCTCACCCAAGATTTGACGGTACATGGCCCCGTCCATCGTCCCTTTGATGCGGTGAAGTTGTCCTGTCCCCTTAGCAGAAAAACACCCCCAAAGCATAATGTTTCCACCTCCATGTTTAACGGTGGGGATGGTGTTCTTGGGGTCATAGGCAGCATTCCTCCTCCTCCAAACACGGCGAGTTGAGTTGATGCCAAAGAGCTCAATTTTGGTCTCATCTGACCACAACACTTTCACCCAGTTGTTCTCTGAATCATTCAGATGTTCATTGGCAAACTTCAGACGGGCATGTATATGTGCTTTCTTGAGCAGGGGGACCTTGCGGGCGCTGCAGGATTTCAGTCCTTCACGGCATAGTGTGCTACCAAGTATTTTCTTGGTGACTATGGTCCCAGCTGCCTTGAGATCATTGACAAGATCCTCCCGTGTAGTTCTGGGCTGATTCCTCACCATTCTCATGATCATTGCAACTCCACGAGGTGAGATCTTGCATGGAGCCCCAGGCCGAGGGAGATTGACAGTTCTTTTGTGTTTCTTCCATTTGCGAATAATCACACCAACTGTTGTCACCTTCTCACCAAGTTGATTGGCAATGGTCTTGTAGCCCATTCCAGCCTTGTGTAGGTCTAAAATCTTGTCCCTGACATCCTTGGAGAGCTCTTTGGTCTTGGCCATGGTGGAGAGTTTGGAATCTGATTGATTGATTGCTTCTGTGGACAGGTGTCTTTTATACAGGTAACAAGCTGAGATTAGGAGCACTCCCTTTAAGAGTGTGCTCCTAATCTCAGCTCGTTACCTGTATAAAAGACACCTGGGAGCCAGAAATCTTTCTGATTGAGAGGGGGTCAAATATTTATTTCCCTCATTAAAATGCAAATCAATTTATAAATTTGTTGACATGCGTTTTTCTGGATTTTGTTGTTGTTATTCTGTCTCTCACTGTTCAAATAAACCTACCATTAAAATTATAGACTGATCATTTCTTTGTCAGTGGGCAAACGTACAAAATCAGCAGGGGCTCAAATGCTTTTTTCCCTCACTGTAGGTGCTGCTGCTGGTAGGGCTTTTGACTTATAATCAGAAGGCTACAATTGTGGCAGCCAAACACATGAGTGAATTATAATTGTATTGTGGTTTTAACGAAATAATCAGGAATACCCCTGATTTTGTCAGAGTTTTGAAGCCAAGCAGGCTCGAGCTTGGATATTGATTTGATGGGTTAACCACCGTGCTCAAACGGCTTGTTTCCAGACTTACGAGGTTACATTGTGGGCAGCACGTGCAGTGCATTAAAAAAAAAAACATTGTTGTACTGTACTTCTATGCTCCCCGTCGTCACAAACCCGTACCGACCAACACAGTGAATGGTCAAATAACTTTTAAGAACCGCACAGGGTATGGTGGCTGATTCGAGTTAAAATGATCCAGAGAATATGAGATTCATATTACAATTGTGCTGCTATCCGGCATCATGTCATGAGACAAAGACAAGTCCTTCCTGGATTCTGTAACGTTGCATTGTATCGGAGAAAAGGGCCAGTACATGATGTCACAGAGCGATTTCAGTTGTCGTTTCAATGAGCCTTTCTCACTCAGCACAACACAGCTCTCCTTTGACACCCCGTCAAGTGAATGTCACATTACAATTGGCATTTGTTTTAAAACCACTGCCAAAGATAGGCTTTGGAATTAGCATTAGAAGTGTGTTCACTTTAGTACATCCACATATAAAGTAAATAATTATTTTCAGCCCTTTGTCAATTCACTAACGTATGAAGATCTAAGTCGGTCATGGAAATTGTTTGTCCATACTTTACCGCACTGTTCAATGCAGGTTGGTGAAGTTCAGGGTAGGGGTTCAAGACCGGTTCAGATATCACTTGCCACTGATGTTAGTCATGACCGGGAAGCAAACTCAGATGGCAGGCTTTATAGTGCAGGGCATGAATCACTGAATCAAAGCTCGACCCCAAATATATATAAAGTACATATTAATAATGCTCATAAAGAGATTTTGTTCCTCGTACTAAATGCATACACGATGCACACAGTGGACATGTGTAGTGTAATTTCGCCGGCTGGTGGACAGCAGCGGCAACAGTTGTGGACAGACAGTACACACGCCGGTGAGGGTGTGCACGGTGTGTGGGCAGAGGGTAGGAACTAGGGCAAGGGTTACGGAGGACCCCGTCTGGAGGCCACTGGAACCTGCTAGCGGGTTCGAGAAGGGAGGCACGGTCAGGGCGGAGCCAGGCCGCGGTGGGAGCATAAAAGGAGCCAAGAGCGGGGGGCTCGAGGCTGCCGGTTCTGGGAATGGAGTCGTCTCGTCGTTGCTTTCGTCTCGTCGCCGTCGTCGCCAAACGTCTCCGCTAGATATTGCGCTACGAAGGATAATAGTTGGCTATCTCAGTCAGCGCCGTCAGCGTTAGATGGCTAGTGTTATGTACAGGCTAGGCCAAGCTACCGTGGAGAGTGTGCGGATGAGACTGTGAAAGTTGTTAATAAACAAAATACCTTCTAGAAACTCTGTCTCTGAATCGTTGACACTACACGTACAGTGTGTCAATCAAGTTATCAGCCATTATTAAAGAAAACAACAGCTCTGAGCTGCATGGTTGAAATGTAAGCAGCATTTTCGTTATAAGCTTAAGTTGTGTAAACCTAAAGCTTTAGTATTCAGCACATAACAGAAGTGTTTACAAAATCACACCAGGGATGTTGGCACTGGCAGAGCCAGTGGGGGGGGTGGCACGTGCCCCCCAAATGATCAGATCGAAATCCCTAATTTCGATCGGATCATTTGGGTTTATTAGTAATAAATCGGCATTTTGCGATCCCCACTGCCACTCTAGTATATTATTACGTGCCAGGGACTCTACGAGATGATAGGACAATAGTCTGAGTCCATAATTGTCAATAAGTAACGGCAAAGCAGTTACAAGTGACTCAGAATTGTGCGCAGTTGCGTATACAGTCCACGACTTCCCTGAAGACATCAACACCTTCAGCGAGCGCGATGCCGATCACACAACGCGGTTCGAATTCGACCCTCGATCGATGGCTGCACCATCACCGCACACGCGTCGAATAAAAAGCAAGGGACAAGTCCTTACTTACTAACAACTCCTCTATCATTTTCATTGCTGGAGGGGTTGCCCCCCCTACCTGAAAGCCCTGGCTCTGCCATTGGATGTTGGAAAACAGTTGGGTCTCCCTTATATCTCAATACGATATGGGTCACCAAATCCCTGGCGGACATTTGAGGGTTTAGAGGAATTGAAAACATAAGGTAAAATATTCACACCACAAAATGCATGTCTGTATGTATATGCTTGTGAAACGTGGACTCCTCTCATGGAACATCTGTGCTGGTTAGAAACATTCAGGCTGGCATGCCTACGATCCATCCTGGGTTTAACCAGGCTGGATTGTGTGAGGAGATCACAAATCCTTGAAAGATCTGGACACATTTCCATCAGTGAACTCCTCCGGCAGGCAAGGCTGCATTGGTTGGGTCATGTACCCCGCATGTCTAGCCACTGCATGCCCAAACAGCTTCTGTTTGGCTGCATAGAGGGGGCTAAACAAGCACGACAGGGGCAGGAGAAGAGATGGACTGATGCGGTATCGGAGGATGTGTAGCGGAGTGGACTTGGAGGAGGCTCGTGAAGGACGCTACTGGGCAGTTGGCGGCAGTCACCCTCCAGCAACAACGGACAGCAGAGGAGTGATGTTCACACCAATGAGCGGAGCGCCGGGTGACGAATATGCAGCAAGTTAGCACAGTAAGGGGTACAGCTGGTACATCAACCAGTCATCTCAGTTAGTCAACCCATGGCACCTGGGTCTGTCCCGAGACCTCCTGCCAGCGAGCCTTCGACACCTCATGTGATCTCAAAGTGCACCTGGCCTGGCACAGGCACCATGGTGATGTCACCGTCACTTATTCGTAAATGGCAGGTATTGGTATTCGTATTGCTTTATCGACCTAGATTCAACTGCTGTGAATTCTTACAAATATTTAAAAATGGTTTATACTTTTATGGACACCTTGTATAAATGTGTTGATTAGAGGTCTCACCATACTAATTACAGGAATAAGCCCTAAGTGTTCAACTGCTGTTGCTTGTAGAAATGAAAAAGATCATACCTTTACACTGGTTGGTGTTTTTGTCCAGTATTGCCTTCGTGGAAACGATCTTCCCGTACCTGAAACAGAAAAAAACAAAGGAACCCTTTTATTGCACCGTATACTTTTTTTGCAATGGGTAATGTTATTAAACCAATGTATACACATTATATCATTTGCACCTCCCAATGAATATAATGTCACAACAATGATATGCAACTCTGGAATGATTTGTTTGTTTGCGCAGGAAAACATCACCAAGGTGCCTGCAAAGAATATCATGCATATCAACGGAAAAAAAAACATGCACACACCGTGCAGATAGCTCAATAACAAATGTGCTGTTCTGCTTCTTACAGACACCACCTTGCACATGATTGCGGTGTGATTCGCCACTCGCTCTTCCCTGTCCAGTGTTGTACCTAATATTGAGTTATCCATATTACATTTAATTTTTCTCATCAGCCATTGTGCCTATGTACTGCTGAATAAAGACCTCCCCGTCCTGTTGCCAGACCTCAAAATCCTTGTAACGCCACAATCCAGTTACTCAACCTCTAGCTGGGGTGGTTGGCCTCCCGCGTGCATTCTCTCCTCTGGCTGCCATTCCCCTAAGCATTCTCGTCGATCATTCGTCGTCCATTCTGCCAGTGCATTCTGTCCGAGCCCACTTCTTAACTGTCAATAAGGCATCTCTAATTTATGTCTGTTCCTTGATCAATGCGTTCCTATTTCCGTACCTGAGTGTAATCCCAAGCGTGCAACTCCCGACGCTTTTTTATTCAATGTTCACAATGTTCAGCTGAGCGCTGGTGGCTATGCACGCCTGCAATCCAGCACTGCAGAGTCGAGCGTTGGTGGATCATACACAGACGTTGTGAAACTCCCTTCCCATGGCGGTTGAGGTGCCATACCCTGGCTCGCCAGAGGCGGTACAGAAGTGGACGAATTGCCATCTGTTTTCATCTGCACGGGGTTAGCACTTTGCACACTTGCGCGTGCGGGTTTTCTCAAGGTGCTCCATGTATGAAGATTCATTAATTGAATTAAAACATCGTAAAATGTAAAAACCCAATGCAGGACTCTCCTGAAAACAAGTCTTACGACTCAGTGTGGCTCTCCTGGAGAAATCAAGTCATTATTATTTATTCTATTTTCTTTGTCAATGCCCATGTTTCTCATCCTTATACCCTTGCAGGTAATGTGCAAAAATTGTGAACGTTCTTTCTTAGTTGCATTGGAATGTTACTTTTCATGACAAAATTCAGTTTTTCAAAGGCATCACTAACTGCCCTAGGTATATAGACTCTGCATTTACCAGCTAAAAATATATCGTGGTCACAACACAAGAAACATAAACCTAAAGCGTTTAATGGGATAAATGCATATACTGTAAAAGTAATAAAAAGGTGAAGCTTCGCGGCACTGTGAATTCAAAGAGGTGTTGGCTTCTGGTTTACTGATTGATAAAACTAATTTGGTCATTTAGTAAAGTCTGTAAATTTTTCAGAGAAGATTTAACATCTCGACCTTGGCGCGTCCAAATAGCCGTGATTCGTGCACACGCAACTATTTAAGGACGTGAAAGAGATTTTGAGTGTCCACGTGTAAGCAATTGGCAGCGTCTACAATATTTCCTCTGTAATGACAACAAACATTCCGCCATTGTTCACACAACATTGACTGTTACTGCCTATGGTGTCAGGTCCATGTGTTGAGAATTGCCACTCGGCAATGTGCGATCTGCCTATTAAACTCTCCAGCACGTTATACATGACATTAATAAGTCAAATATTAACGTACAAACTGTGATTAGGTGTGGGTGGTGCATATGTGTAATCCACCACTTTGTATATAGATCACGTGAGAGACCTCCATGTGCAGGGTTCGTGATGTGCCAACGAAATGCAGTAAATCAAGTAGGTTGCCGACCCACCTGCTGATTTACCTGCAGCATGGATATTTTAAAAATATAAAAATACTGTTTACACAAACCACTAAGCGCAATGTTCTCACTGCATAAATAATTTGAAAAGATACAACTATAACATGTGAAATGATAATTGTAGTAGTTAATGTGGCAAAAACTCGTACAAAAAAATACAATCTGGTGACATTTTGCAAAAAGATTGTGCTAATATGTGGAGAGCCAGTTTACAAATAAGAACTATGTAGCTCCTAATTAAAGCAGCCGGCACATTTTCAAGTCCGAACTTCATTAAGCAAAGCCATCAGACAGAAACAGTTTTGGCAAGGCGAGGAAAAGCAGACATTCCATTAAAACCTTGCCTCAATTGATTACCACTAAAACGTCGTCACTGTGATTGCATGGCTGCGCTTTGACATAATTAGCACTGATTACACGGCAAAGCAGTTTCATTTTGCAGCTCAGCTGCATACAAGCATATATTTTCTCGCTAAGTCCACCAGAGCAAAACCCACAATTGGATTTGGAAAAAAACAAGGGGGGGGATGGGGGGGTAACAATTTACGAAATCTGTTGAGATAAAATTACTCGTACTTTCTCGACCAGGATAAATTTACAAATTTGCAAACTAATTTCAAACTTTGCAAATCTCCAAATAGTATTAGTAAAGAAAAAAAAACACTTTTCTTTTTATAATGCTGGGGACTATTTTGCATACAATTCCAGGAGAAAATTACCCTCGGCGTTTCTATGCGTTAGAGTATTCACGTGGCAGGAGAAGGCTCTTTTTGAACATGTGCTTATCAGGGAATTCAGCTTTGCCTTGTAGATCTTCTCGAAGGCTTTATACATATGCATGGTGGCAGCGCTGCTGGCGTACTGTATCTGAACATTCCACGAACAGATGGAACCAAGCGTGCGGAGCCACTCGGAGAACGAGGATAAATGAACTCCGTGTACTTTTTTTTGTTCCTTGGCGCACGTTGACAAAACCCAGTCTTTTTCTCGCGTGCCTTGGCCAAATTAACCACTCTGTCCATGACAAACACGTAACGGATTCCCCTTCACGGAGGCCCTTTTTTTCGTGAGTTCAATTCGGGCGCGCGGTGATGTCCGTCCACTACATACTTTCTTCATTACCGGCGGCAGGAAGATCTAATAGAGAACAGTTGAACACTCACCGCGTAGCGCTGTATTTCAGTTAACTTTACCGTCCACAACGGCACAGAGACATTTTTAAAAGATACTGTAGACTGTGCCGCTTGCCTTAAGTGAACCCACAGCCTGCTGCTTTCCATTACATAAAAGGGTAATCTTAAAATTGGAGCTTTAGCATGTGCACCCGTTCCACAACAATTGCATTAAATCCACTGCAGCGTTTCAGAAGTTTCTCCCACGGTGTTGCATGGTCGCGGGTCGCAGTAGTGTGAGCTGTGAATAGGTTTGCCAACTCTGAGGTACCAAAAAAAACCATGATATATAATGGGAAGAAAAATATCTGAAAATACCGGTAGAGGGGATAACTCGGATTAAAAGCATTGTCTTCAGTGGACTAATATTCAAACTTGATTTGAAGCTTTCGTGACTGCAGGGATTACTCTTTGGTTCTTTCGGTAAAGTCAAGTAGAAAGAAAATAAATGTAATAATAGAATACGACGTTTCGATTGCAACATAAGCAATCGTCATCAGGTAGAACTAAATTTGAGAGAGAGACAAAACACAGACACGGAGACACAGACATACACAAGCAGAGAGAGAGACAACAGAGAGAGACAGACACACAGCATAGACACATAGAGACCTGTGTGTCTATGTGTCTCCGTGTCTGTGTTTTGTCTCTCAAATTTAGTTCTACCTGATGATGATTGCTTGTGTTGAAATCGAAACGTATTCTATTATGGAATAATATTACCAACTGACAAAAAACTGCGAATGTTACTATCTCGGAAGGACTTATAGTTTTCACGGGACAGATGCCTCAACAAGAATACAATCCTGGGGAAAACGAGGACAGGTGGCAACCCTAGCTGTGAGTATGTTTGATTGTGCAGAAAGAGCTATGAAGCAATTCAATGGTGTCTATTTTATCAATGCACCTCACACTGGTGGAAGCCTCTATCTGACTATACTATTACTGGTGTCATACAGTGAGGGCAGCTGCATTTAATACAATTATCCTTCACTATTTTATCGTGGGTTTACTGAAGGTCAAGAGTAAAGTAAAAACTTTCTCCAAGTGTAAATTCAAGTGGAGGGGTTCTTCTCTCCATAGGTAGTCCTCAACCAAAGATGGAAAATCTACATTCCTTTAGCTGGAACCAGATTTGACATGGGACTTTGTAGATACTGGTACTAATTTAGTTGACCCTTAAGTGATGATGTGCTGACCAGACTCTATGATTTTAATTCGCAGTATTTCAATAGAGAGTTGAGCGCCGACTGTTGCTGTCACGTATATATTTCTCTCCGCATTTAAGCGTGACAGAGTATTTTTTTAAATCCCTCTACAATTTCCACGGAAAGGTCCTGTTTACTTGTAAAACTGCATAAGTAGGTCACAAAGACTCTTGAAAAACATGCTTCCAAACAAATATTTGTACAACACAAAATATGAACAAATAACTTTTAGACTTTTTTTCCCCCCAAATTAAAAGTTGCTTTTGAACGTTATTTTTCTCCATTTGCCACAGATATAATCAATCTTCTGACAAAAAAATCATGCCAGAATTCAGACAAAATGGTTTTAATGTGGATACGTTTCATCTGTAAAAGAAACCAGTTGTTTTTTTTAGCAAACCAAACCCTTGCCTCCCACACACCCACCGTGCATAACATACCATCCCTGTTCCCAGCCCCACAGTAACCCTAGATTCGCCTAGAAACAAACAGTGACCGGAAGTTCCCAGCCATTTACAACTGGCAGTTAAAGTGACTGTTTACTGGAAATCACGCAATCTTGGAGCCAAGCAGACGCCAAAGCCACGGCGCCTACGTCACTACTGCATGAAGGAAATGTCCGCCCCTGGGAATTTTTTTTTGTTGCAAACCGCATATTCAAAATAACATAAAGAAATAACAGAAAAACCGATACAAATGCTCTATTAAAAGTGATAGTAATGTTGTTCTGTGTTTTCTTTGCCTTTTCCTGCAGT